TGCGGTTTCAATTTGATAGCTTCAATGGATTATCGCGCGTTCATTCGTTACTCCGCCGCTGCGGTTGTACGTTTACGTAGGTGGCCGCGCTCCGACGACGCGCACACCATCGTGAAACTTTATGACAATAGATCGAACGCGGGCACGAATAGCCGGCAGGAAGCGCTCCTCGTCCGATTTGTGTGAATGGGTGTGCGTGCGACCGTGTGTTTTACTCTCTGTCGTACATTGCACGCAGGTAACGAAGCGGATCGCCCCGCAGCTCCGTGAATCTATGAAGCGTATTTGTGTGTGTGTGTATGTGTGTAGAGTATCGTAGACTCGCCACACATCTTCCTTCGCCTCTTGAATTTTCCAAACATTCGTTTGTTAATTTTGAATAATTTTGTGAAATCTCGCCGGTCCGCGGGATCGTCCGCCTTTCGTAATAATACTAATTGTAATATTCGAAAAATTGCCTCAGATTTAGCTCTTTTCTATATTCCTCTGTCGTTCATTTTAACTCGTGACATGTTCCTTAAGATCCAAAAACGCGATTTACCGTCTCAAAGTCCTGAAATTTTCGGGACTTTGAGACTCTGAAGCTGCGGTGCGCGAGTGATAGACGATGTTTGAATAAAAATGTCTTTGCTTTTACGATTAATTTCCAGTGGATGTCTTTTCAGCGGAAGTGTATGTCGAGCGTTCGTTACATAAAGATACCTGTATATGTGTGTAATATGAAAAATTAAAGAATTCGCGAAATATTCGTGGAAAATTCAAGGATAAAGTCGACATGCGACGAAGTCGGATTGCGCCCTGTATTTTTACACGGGAGATAGAGAAAAAGCGGGGGAGGGGGGGGGAAGGGGAGAGGAAAAAAGAAAACAAGCGGCATCGATCGATTCGATTTACTCCGCGCGCTTGGGATTCTCTCGGTATCGGCAAGCGCGTCGCACGTCCCCGCTGTCGAATGTGTGCGGCGCTACTGAATAAAGTGACCGAAGTGTCGCTTCCGGTCGCGTTTTTTTCTCTTTTCTCTCTCTCTCTCTCTCTCTCTCCAAGGGTGCGCCGCACAATAACGATAACGATAATCACCGTGCACGAGCGGCTCCGCACGTCTTACTTTACATTCACGGTGTATTACGCGATAGAGACGGTCGAGAAAAAAAATTGCAACGATTGCGTATCGGTATTATACTGCCCGATCTCAAAGATCTCTCTCGTTTCGTTTCAATTGAAATGGAACGAAGCGACGAGATAGTCGAACTTAGTCTCATTGAACTTAATTTTAATTCCTAAACAATCTAATATCGCAGAAGCGGATAGCGCGATATCGAAAGACTCAAGCGAGTGCTGGATGGTAAAATCCCATCTAAATCCCACCTAACTCGCAGTTTACAATATATGCGCGATATGATTTTGCACGCATCGCTGAGTCGTGAAACAACGCGATGACTCCCGCGTTGTCGCGAGTCCACGAAACCAGCAGCAGCGACTGTATGCGCGGTGCGGATTAATTCAGTTTTGTCTAACACCATCCATTCGCGCATTCTATTTTCGCGGCGGATAGTTCGTCGATTCGACAGAAAAAAAAAATCGTGAGATTCGACGGCCGGCAGTACGTATTCGTCGTGGAGCGAGAGCTCGGTGGATGGGAAGGGGGAGGGGGGTTCAAATTGAAGTAATTAAAACCCGGGTACGCGCGCGGGGGCCAGGAAAGTCGGCTATTGTCAGTCGGGAGCGTGCGCCTTGTTAAATTTCTCGGTCGAGCGGGATCCTTCGTCGCAAGTGGAGCGAAACGGATGGCCAATGGCCAATGATGACTCTAAACTCTCTCTCTCTCTCTCCGTCCCCTCCCGCCTGCCTCTCTGTCGAGCCACCCGCCGATACGTACACCCGGTGCGCGGCGCTTCCGATTCCCTTTCTGGCTCCTTTTTAAAAGCTCCTCTTTCCCTCGTTTTCTTTTTCCTCGTAAAGTTCGTGACTCACCGGCAGTTCTCTCTCGGAAAGGGGTTAAAAAAAAATTAAGGAGAGCATAAGGGTTGTATCTTTCAAGTTCGAGATTTTTTAGCAGTGTCCTCGTTAGTACCGAGACGACTGGACAGTTTTGTTATTATTGGCGGAAAATACGCTAATTTGTCTTACTTCGAATCAATGTTTCCTCTTAGATTCGTTGTCCTGTAAGAAGATTTGTTGCCGAGAAATAATATATATTAATTATATTAATGTAATCTATTATTTTGATGTTATTGGCGTTATTATTAATTTGAAAATACGCTAATTTGTCTTTCTTCGATTATTTTCTCCTAGCTAAATTCGTTGTCCTGTAAGAAGATTCACTGCCGAGAAAAATATATATTAATTATAAAATAGAACAAGAGTTAGGCCAATAAACGAGCATACTTTTGGTTGATTAATTAATACAAAAAATATTTTAATAATTAAAGAATTGATGGAATGTTTCGGCTTACTTACACGGAAAAAACGATTTTGTTGAAAGGTCTGAAAATTTTGCTGAATACAGAGCTGAAAATAATTTTTGT